CTTTGTGAACCTCGAAGTGCAGATTTCGTGGCAGGCGCAGCACTTTGTGAACCTCGAAGTGCAGATTTTGTGGCAGGCGCAGCACTTTGAACCTCGAAGTGCAGATTTCGTGGCAGGCACAGCACTTTGTGAACCTCGAAGTGCAGATTTCAGGGCAGGCGCAGCACTTTGTGAACCTCGAAGTGCATATTTCGTGGCAGGCGCAGCACTTTGTGAACCTCGAAGTGCAGATTTCGGGGCAGGCGCAGCACTTTGAACCTCGAAGTGCAGATTTCGGGCAGGCGCAGCACTTTGTGAACCTCGAAGTGCAGGTTTCGGGGCAAGCGCGCATGTGTCTCAGAAGTTCGCATTTGCTTCAACTCTTCCCAGTTCTCATACCACTGTGTCATTTTTGTGTATTGTTATGTGTTTGCTCGTTTGCTCACGTCCCGTTTAGACTATTGAGAAAGGCACCATGGGCAGCGCTCATGCTTAAAACGTTGCAGCGTTGATGCGTTCAGTCTTTAATCGGGGCTTTCTTTGGTCCAGCCGAAACTGCAAATTTTTGAGGTTGCGCTCAGCTAGCTTCCCCTTCATGCCGTCAGCTTTTGCGCTTGCCTGAAGGCTTACAGGGTATTACGGTGCACGTGCTCCCTCTCACTATCAGTCTCCCGCGCATGATTCATGCTTTCCAGGAAGTATCTCAGAGGTGGACCTTCGGAAGCACTACAGGCTGGATTTGTGATTGATCGCTTCGAGTGTTTCTCACTGATCGCTTCAGTCTTTGACTGCGTTGATTTCAAGGGTAGCAGCGCGCCACTTGCATCCAGACAGAGGCGGACAGTGTGAAGAGTTTCAGGAGCTGCCGTTTTGTTTCGTTTTTGCAGAGTGGTGACGTTGACCTCCATATGCATTTGTGTTCACTTTTATTTTCCTCCAGATTGCTCCAGCCATGAGCCAACATTACAGGTTTGGAAACAGGAACAGCCTGATTGATGCGTGGGGGAGTTGCAGCATCAGCAAGTCCAATGCAGGAGTTGCAGAATTGTTACCGTTCCCTTTTGGCGGAGGCAGCTGGCGCAAGTAGTCACAGATCAGTACAAGGTAATCGAAGAATAGATAAGAAATGATAAGAATAGTATAGACAATATGTTCGCAAGTTCAGCTTGGAAGCTTGAGGATTTGTGAAGATGCCCTTTAATTCCTTTTGATGATACTTCCTGAAAGTCCAGGTCATGTGCTGCGCCGGAATTGTTACAGTATATATATAATTATATCCAATCTTGAGCATGGCCCACATGCATCCCTGAAGAAATCAAGTCATTCCCCTCGGGACATTCGGTTTCCAACCGCAACCCCTGCCTGTTGAGGTTGGAAAGCAAAAAGAAAGGCCAGAGTGGCTCGAGAGGATGAAGAAGGAACCACAAGGGTGGCAGCACAACATGCAATTGTTTGAAGCATTTACCAAGCACCTTTATTTATTTGTGTTCATTGTGCTTGAGCTCTTGGTAATTTGGTGCTTTTACGAAGGGGAGAGGGGGCACCTCAGTGAGGGGACAACATGCAGAAGATCAGTGATGGTATTTAGCCTACAGAATGGTGGGGGTTAACCCTCCTACAGAATGCACATTTAGTAGTAAAGGGGTTTGGTCGCACGACCCCTGTGGTTGGGATGCCAGCATTTTGTAGGCAGCAAGAGGGTTGGGTGTACTTATTCAGTAGGGAAAAGAGAATGCACGATTTGTGGGTTGGGTGTACTTATTTGGTAGGGGAGGTCCTTCATTTTGTAGGGAATCATAATGGATGGATATTCTAACAATCCTGCGTCCGGAGATCTAGCCTAGGCAGGGGGCTGAAAGGGCAAAGGTGGAGTTTGATAGGCAGGATGTGGGCTGGTGCACGTGCTGGTGTGGGACAGGCCTACTGCACAAAATCAGAGGCACAATCCCAGGCATCTGCTTCAGCGTCGGCTTCTGCTGATGACGGGGTCTGCACGTGTTGTGCTTCGTCGGCCCTATCCTCAGAGTCTTTCTCTGGCATACCTGTCTCTTCCTGTTCTCGTGCTGCAGTCTCGGAGCAACCCGAGCTGACATCGATGGCAGGGGCAGGGCTTTGGTGTGGCCAGTAACAGCCTGCTTGCCGTAGTCCAGGTTGGGGGGGAAGGTGTAATTAAGTCAGATCCCCTGGTGCCAAGCTCTGGTTGGCTCCTCCATGCGTCATAAAAGTAAATCTTGTGCAGAGCTTCGAACTGGTATTCTTTTGCCTTATGTGCGGCATCGGCTTCTTGCCCTGGTGGGTAGCGACTAGTGCTTCCTACGCTAAAGCGAGCCCCCCCTTACCAGCATAGTGGAGGAGTCGCCAGGCATTGGGCTGCGCGCTGTCAGGGACGACGAGCCAGTCAGGCAGGGTACGCCCATCGGGCCCCGCCCATTTTGTAGAGTAGGGAAGGTGGCCAGTGGTGACCAAGACTAGGCAGGTGGCTCAAAGGGCAAAGGTGGAGGGTGGAGAGATATCTTTGATAGGCAGGATGTGGTGGAACTTGGTGGATGTGACTGGGTCTTGCTGGTGTGTTTGCTTGTGTGGGACAGGCCTGCTGTACAAAATCAGAGACGCACGCCCAAGGGTTGGGCCACCCCATTTTGTAGAGTAGGGAAGGTGGCCAGTGGTGACCAAGCCTACGCAGGGGGCTGAAGAAGTATAATTGATAGGCAGGATGTGGTGGAAATTGGTGGATGTGATTGGGTTTGGCTGGTGCACCTCTTGGTGTGGGACAGTCCTGCTGTACAAAATCAGAGGCACAATCCCAAGGGTTGGCATCCCCATTTTGTAGAGTAGGGAAGGTGGCCAGTGGTGACCAAGAGTAGGCAGGTGGCTCAAAGGGCAAAGGTGGAGGGTGGAGGGGTAGCTTTGAC